AAAAAAAAAAAAAAAAAAAGAAATCCTGTCTCAGTTATCACACAAGTAGCTGGGACTATAGGTGTGCACCACCACACCCAGCTAACTTGTATATTTTTTATTTTGTAGAGATGAGGTCTTGTTATGTTGCCCAGGCTGGTCTCAAACTCCTGGCCTCAAGTGATCCTCCTGCTTTAGCCTCCCAGAGCGCTGGGATTATAGGTGCAAGCCACTGTGCCCAGTCCATTTCAGTAGACTTAGACTCGAGCCTTTAAAGGGAAAGTCTGACCTTCCCTATAGTTGTGTGAAAGAAAACAGAATCTCAGGACACCAAATTAACTATGCCAAAGGGAAAGTTAAGCTTGGGAACTGAGTCACACAGAAACTGTCTCCCTTTAGTTCACAAACAGCTGAAATTTCACAACCTGTGTCATAGCTTCATACGTAAGCTAGATTCCCACAACAATAGAAGGCCACGTATCTCCCCAGATGGCGTCCCGCACAAATTGCTCACAAGGAAACTCCTGAGGGCCCCTAAATCTTTCAGGAGACACCGGCCCTAAAACCAAGTTTTGTTAAATCTCACCCTGACAATATGAATGACCAGTTTGTCTTCACAGATGTGGGACAAGGACAAGACTAGAAACCAACCCTCTGCTTACCCAAGATGAGTGCATAATTGACTTTTCTCCACCCTCTCTTTTCCACCTGTAAAATGTAGATTCACTGAATGCTAATGAGAGCCTCACAAGAATGTCACCACTTGCCTTACTATCTACCTGTCCTTCTTTTTAATTTTCTTCCCTCCTTGTTTGCTCCTTCTCCTTTAAATACCAAAGTCCCCAAAACCCTCTTTGGAAAAGGCACAGGTCACAGATGCTCCTGGGATTTGTGTTTTTCCCAGACACATCTTCAACCTTTGCTAAATAAACCTCTGATGGGTGGATACCTGCCTCAGTCACTTTTTGGTTTACGTTTAGTTCCCACCTCTCCTGACTAGGATGTCAATGATACATGGCTGCATGTTTTTGTCAATTTTGTTCATGGCTACCTTCCTAGCATCAGGAACCTGTGCCTGGAACAGCACAGCTCAAGAAATGTCAGTTGACTCTTCTGAGGTTACAGGTTACCATCACTTTAGTAACATAGCCATGAAGACAGAGTTTGTTCATTCATTCATTCATTCATTCTTCCTGCATTTCAAGGCCTATCCTCTGGTCACATAAAGAAGACTTTTAGAAGTGTGAAGTGAGGGCACTGCAGGGACTGCTGTCTGGAGAATTTCACTTCCTCCTTGTACCTTCCTTTCGGGAGTGAGTCACCTCATTTGACACTGGAACACTGAAACGGAGGCCAGGCTCCTCCACCAGGAAGTTACTCACTGCTCACAGTGCCCGCCGGGGAGCATCGATCCCTCCCTCGGCCCCCAGCAAGCAGAGGATATTGCTCAAGATCATTTAATTTTCTATTTGAGTGAAGCCTATTAAGACAGATTGGCAGACTTTGCTGCCGGGGGCCTCACAGAATGAACACCAAGGGGCTAATTCGATTGAGTTGATAAAGAAGCTATACATTTTATCTGGGGTGTTCTTCTATCAGATTCCATGTTCCCAATAAAGCTCAAAACCAGCATCTCCACAGAGCCCATCACAGGTGAGAATAACTGCTATGGTATTCTATTGGGTGTGACATGAGCAAAACTATCTTCCAGAGTACATGGGACTAAGAAGCAGCAAAATCCTCCAAGAAACAGAAGCTCAGGGCCTGCCAAGCAGGATGCAGTAGAGTCAATGGGGGTGTGGGGTAAGAGCTGGTGGACCTGTGTTAGAAGCAGGTACTGTCTCTGCTTGGTGAGCAACTAAATGCATTCACACACAGAAACACACACACACACACACACACACACACACACACACACACACATACCATATGCACACATGTGCACAAATGTATGATATAAAACACATGACAACATATAAGGGCAATGGGGACCTGAACCAGCATGACAGGACACAGCCAGGGTGACCAACTTATCCTGGTTTGCCAGGAATTTCCAGGTGTAAGCCCTGAAAGGCCCATATCCCAGGAGTCCCCTGGTCCCAGGCCCACCAGGGTAATGGCTGCCCTAGATACAGTACCCCTGGTGCAGCTGAAAGGAAGGCCCACTTCCTCATGGTGTAGAGTCTCATGGTCTCTCAAGGTCCAACGCCTAAATGGTTGGTTCTGTAAGCAGATCCTCTTACAGAGAGTGTGTGAGCAGTGCTGGCTCCATGCCGAGCCCTTACTTCTGACTTACTCGTCCCTGCAGCTGCGATTTGCATGAGGACAAGGTCAAAGTGAGGAGGCACCAGCAAGAGCTGGAGCAGGGGTGGTCTTCCTCTCCCTCCATAAAGGTAACCTGTGTCTAGGATGGGCTGGGAGCCAGAGCCGGGCAGGCTGCAAGACAGTGGTACCAGGTACTGCTGAGGAGTCAGCAGGAGGAGGAAAGAGTCAGGTGGGAAAGGGGCAAAGCAGGTGAGCAACAGATGTCTGGTGTCTAGCAAGAGGCAGAGCCAGGGTCTGAGTGGGATTGGGTCAGCATCCAGCAGCATTCATTCAGCAGGGTCTGGGGGCTGTATGGCTTAGGATGGGCCCTGGAGTCCTGTGGGACCTTGGAGCCTGTGTTAGGGCCACCTGAAAGCATCCCTAGGGAAGGAATGCTCTCTCTAACCTCCCTATGCTTTCAGCCCATGCTCCTGGACAGCAATGAGCTCTGACTCTCACTCATGAGAGCTGGGGCCTCAGTTTTTAGATGGGAGGGAAATGTCTGCCTCACAGGGATATTGTGGGTTTGAATTATGGAAGATGATCCTCCTGGCCCTAGAGATCACCAAAACATAGAACACATTAGAACTCCCCCTCCATCCCCACAGTTAAAGGCAGCCTGTTGTTCCTGCTGAGCACATGGCATGTGGCTGGACCTCAGTCACTATCTGTCCTTGCTGGGGGTCAGATCCTGTCCAGGGGCAACCCCATGGTCCAACCCAGAAACTCTGTGCTCTGTTTCCCACTTGACTCCATTCCCTAAGCTTCAGTTTTACTCAGAGCTGTTTATCTGGAGCCGTGGCACCAAGAGGTGAGCAGCTGCAAACTTTGAGTGCTGGGGAATTAAGCAATTCGAACTTAAAGATTTTGGAAATTTAAATTATTTTGAACCTTGAGAGGAATATGGCTATGTTGCCAGAGCCATGTAGCATGCAGCAGCAGCTTCTGTTTTGTCCTATAGATAACTAGGAAAGACCAAGGGGCACCTGATAAGACCCACTTGAGGTAATTTTACCTGTTCTCATGGAGTGTTAAAATAATCTTCCTTGGAATATAGCAAACTGTAACTCATTAAATCACTGTAACTTATACACTGACCTTGTATGGAAAATATAACCCATTAAACTTCTCTGTTTCTGCCTATATAAGTGAAACCTTAACTTTCCCGCTTCAGTACCTTGATCTTGGACTTTCAATCCTCTATTCCTTTGGGGGTCTGTGTTTCCCAGACAGTTATCTTCAAACTTTGTGCTAAATAAACTCAAGACTTAATCATATTTTCTGAGTCTCATTGTTTAAGTGCCCGGGTGCTAGATGTATGGCTGTGACTCAGCTAGAATAGAGACCTGAGCTCCCTCTTCTACTCCCTTTGCACCCCTGACTGTCTTCCTGTCTCTCAGTCACATATGCATACACACGCACACAGGCTCCTGTAGCAGGGCAATGTTTTGTTTTATTTACTTTTTGTAAGGTTGTACACCCTTGGTGTGCTGCTATGGTTGAATGTGTCCCCCAAAGCTCATGTGTTAGAAACTTAATCCCCAATGCAACAGTGTTAAGAGATGGGACCTTTAAGAAAATATGAAGTCCTGAGGACTCTGCCCTTATGAAAGGATTAATGTCGTTGACAGAGGGGGGGGTTTGTAAATGTGAAAAACTATGAAAATGGGTTTGGTATAAGAATGAGTTCAGCCCCCTCTTGCTCTCTGTCTTTCTCTCTCTCTCTCGCCATGTGATGCCTTCCACCATGTTATGGCACAGCAAGAAGGCTTGCACTAGATGCAGTCCCTTGTTCTTGGACTTCTCACCTTCAGAACCATGAGCCAGATAGATTTCTATTCACTATAAATTACTCAGTCTGTGATATTCTGTATAGCAGCATAAAATGAACTAAGACACGTGTTGATTACACATTCCCAAACATGGTGGGCACACCACCCTGCTTTGATGGCTTGTAATCCAGAGACAGTAGGGCCAAACTAGTTTCCTCTGCCAAGTTCTTTACCAGCTCTAACTTTCCAGCTCTTCTCCAGTTACATTCACTGGGAAGACTGTTACACTTGCATATCCTCTAAGCTCTCTCATACCCAGTTTCAGGGCATAGGGGTTGATGGTGGGCCAGGAGGGGGCAGATGACCTGACTTGGGCTGTGTGATGGGAACTGCCTGGTTCTCTGAGCACCGCACACAGAATTTGAGCTTACAAGTTGCAAAACCTCAAGAGACTCAATCCAAAGTCTGTGTTGCACCTCAGTCTCCTTTAATGCTCCTAGTCCAGTCCCCGGTGTTACCTTGGCTGAGGATGGCATGACTGTGTTCTCCAGGTGGGTCAGCAGGCGTTCCACAGCTGACATGCGCTTATTCAGCTCAAAGATCTGCAGCAGAGGGAGAGAAAGAGTGGCCAGAGGACCCAGCTCACTCTCAGCAGCAGGATACTGGCACCCACCACCTCGGAAGCACCAAAGTCCCAAGAAGTGGAAGGAAAGCTGAGGCCACTACCCATGACATGGCCTGGAAGGTTAACTGTGAAAGCCATTTCTGACACCGAGGGTTCTGGAACACCAAACCAAAGCTGGGGGTGGTACCAGGAGTGGGAAGAGTGGGAGGATGAGTGCAGCAGGAGAGATGAGAAACCCAGAAAGGCAAGGGTGCTAAATCTGAAAGGCCATAATGGGACGCTTACTGTGGATAGCTATTGTCACTGCTGATACCGATCAGCACAGGAAGGCATCAATTAAGTCACAGTGATCAAACTAAAAATCATTAGCTCTCCAGAGCCTTGGGTCACTTGTGGGCTAGGAGGCACTCCAGGTGATAACCCAAAGTGACCAAAAGTACAACTTCATCCCTTGAGCCACCAGACTCTTGAGTCACCCAAAGTCTATTAGCTCCCAGACTGAGACATGAGAAATCAATTATTTGGGTTTCTCCCTCGCCCAGCAGATGCATCTTTTCTGCTGTGATCTCATTTACTGCTCATCTTGACTTTAAAGTGGGAAATGACACTTGCAGAGTGTTAAGATGCTTTTGTATTGTTCAGTAGATAATTAGTTTAATCATCACAGCTCCAAGGGCTTGGAGTGAGCAAATCTGCCCGAAGAAAATATAAGCAGAGAAATGTCAACACGGGGGTTTCAGTTAGACTTCCTCCATGTCTGGAGTGGCTGCTGGTAATTGAGACCCCTTTCTGGTTGCATTTGATGTCCAAAGAGGCAGCGATCAATACTCTTTGCAGAGAGTGGTGTGCAGACAGCCTTTGTCTCCTGGGAGCACAGTGTGCTCAGCACACATGGGGACTTGGGAGAGGAAGACAGCCTCCCTGGTAGCATGTAACACCATCGTTGTGCAATGTCACGTCCAGAGTGAAAGGGAAGGAAAAATATCCCATGATGAGAAATTGGAAGCAGGGTCATGGAGGTGGGCAAGGTCTCAGGGGGCAGCGTGGGGCAGGGAGAGGCCAGCGGGGAAGGGAATCAGCGCTGCTTTCTGACCAGCCCTGGCTGTGTCCAGGCTCTTTCAGCGAGGGGTGACCAGCATGGACACAATGAATTGGATACAACCCTGGTTACCATCTGTTATGGAGAGCCACTGGGCCCCTTTCAGACAAGCCCATATAGAGTAGTGGCTTCCCAGTCACTCAAAGGCAGCCTTGCACAGCTGGTGTGTCCTTCCTGTCCTCCTACCTTCTGCCCAGGAGGTAGAGGGAGTCTTCTCCTGCCTCTCTCTTTTATTTCAGTGTTTCCTTCTCTATTCTTGTTAGATGTATATAAATCTTTATAATGGCTAAAAAGCTTATCTCCCTCTCATAACTCTGAACCTGGAAGCCCTGTTTTTGAAATGCAGACATGGGAAAGAGTGTCATAACTCACAGCTCCCAAGAAAGAGTAGGAGGCTAACTTTGGTGGCACCTTGCTTCAATTTGCAAAATGACCTTCTGTCTTAATATGAGAAGTTCCTTTTGCCTCCAGATAAAGGCGACACAAGTGGTCTCCTAATTACCATGATAGAGTTAAGACTCATACCTTGACAAAAGGTGCTGTCAAGGTCTTCTCACTAGTAAGGACTTGCGATGGTTAATTTTGAGGATGTGTTTGTAATGGGCTGTGTCTGCTTGTCTGTACACGAGGGTGAGATTCCTTCCTGTCTTTGCTATCTCCTAGTAGGTTACCTGTGGTGCACATCACATGCTGGTCTAATGCTTATTTATTAATTAATTTATTTTTGAGTTGGAGTCTCACTCTGTCACCCAGGCTGGAGTGCAGTGGCACGTTCATGGCCACCCCATCCTCTACCATCTCAGCCTTCCAAGTAGCTTGAACTACAGGCATATGTCACCATGCCTGGCTAATTTTTCTGATTTATTGTAGAGATGAGGTCTTGCCAAGTTGCCCAGGGTGTTCTCGAACCTGTGGGTTCAGGCAATCCTCTCACTTCGGCCTCCCAAAGTGCTGGGGTTATAGATGTGAGCCACCATGCCTGGCTGCTTATTTATTCAATAATAAAACTTGTTTTCTTTCTCTACTCCCTTTGTGGAGAGAGATTCTGGTTTTTGGAGAAACCATACAAGGGGGTACCCCCCCAAACCAGAATTTATTTATAAAAATTGTGTATTTATTCTTGCACATTTAAACTTCAGCCAACTTCAAAGTACTCTCCATTTGATGCAATACACCTATCGAGACACTGTTTCCACTGCTCAAAACAGTTTTTGAACTCATGTGCCTTTTAGTGCTTCTGCCAATTTTTGTTTCACCTCTTCCACATCAGCAAAATGTTTCCCTTTGAGGACTTTTATTCATCCGGGGAAACACAAAAACATTGCTCAAGGTGAGATCAGGTGAATAGGGAGAGTGAGGCATGGGGTCATGCTGTTTTTGGCCAAAAACTGCTGAACACCTACAGCGGTGTGGGCAGGTGCACTCATAAGTTACCCATCATGAAATGGGCAAATGTGTTGAAAGGCTCTCCCCCCCAAAATTATCTGAAGCCATAGAAAGCCTCTCACAACACTACCTGGTTCACTGATGCTGATAGGTTCCTAGAACACTTATCTAGAGGGAGAAGCCTATACTACAAGAGGACCTTCTCTCAAAAAAAATTGGTTTATTTTGGAGGGGGAGGTCCCACCTCATATTTCTCCAAAAGTAGTAACTGCTATAGTGATGGTGCCATCTCTGCCAAGACATGGGTGTCTGACCCTGTGTGGGCTCCAATTGTCAGAATTATCATGTTACTTAGATATGTATGGATGGAAAATTAGGTCTAAACTCCTGTGCTTTTAAAGTGTATGAGACAAAATCAAAATTTAAAATTTACATATGCAACACAAATCAAAATTTAAAATTTACAAATGCACATACAAATTTACATAGGCCAGGGATTAAAAGGAACCACCATAATTTGTCACTGGTGACACTTATGGGAAACTGAGTCAGTATCTGCAACCTGAGCACAGCACAGCTGACCCTGGGGCTGGCTCTCAGAAGTGAGAGAATTGGAAGGTACGTGCCAGGGTTCTGGATCTGCTCCCCGCTTCCATCTCAGTCCTGTGAAAGCTTCCTTCCTTACACATTCTTGTGCCATCTTTGGCCTTCTCTGGGCATGAACAGTTATCTATAGAAAGTCTTTCCTGATTATCCCTCATTCAGAAAGTTGTTACCATGAATGCAAAGGCAAAGGCCAGCAACAGATAACAGGATGATCACTCAAACTAACCACAATGTCTGTGAGTCCTGGATTCGCAAATACTGTTTTGAGGGATGGGCAGATTTAAGGGTCTTACTCCTGTGGTCCTGTAGTACCCCTCTCACAAAGACCTCTGAAAGAGTCTGCCTGGGTTTTTTTCTGAAGTACAGAACACTGCTAGGTTTGGAGGTTCTCTCTGCTGCTTAATTCCCCTTCATGGGACACAATCTCAGTGAAATACTAGATGAGTTGAGCAAACTTTAAGTAATTCAAACTTAAAGCTGTTGAAACTTTAAATTATTCTGGGCCCTGAGAGAAATGTGGTTATGCAATATGAGTCAGGTAGCACACAGCTGAAACTGCTGTCTCTTACTACCCTGTAAATAATCAAGACCAATTGGCATCTGAGATAAGACTCCTCAGATTACTATTCCTCTTCATAGAGTAATACAGTAATCTTCCCAGGCATGTAGCAATCTGTAACCAATCAAATCACTGTGACATATGCACTGCTCTTGTATGGAAAACGTAATCTTGCTAACATTTCTATGTAAGTGAAACCGTAACTTCTTCACTTTGGGCCCCATTAGCTTGGAGTTAATGTTTCTAGGTGGTCAAGTTTTTTGTTTGGATAAACTATATACTTAATCATAATTTATGATTAATCTTAATTTATGAATCTCATTATTTAAGGTTGATAAAGTAAATAAAAGTTAATAGCAACAAGTAAAGATAACCAGAGACAGGATTCACAAACATGAAATAGAGAGTAATTACAAGGAGGCATAAAGGATAATTGGTATCAGCAGGGCTAGATGCCATGATATAAATTTTACTGAAAGGCACTATAGTTGTTAAATTAAAGGCTCACTGAAAATAAATGAGGGAGATCATCAGCCAGCCATGGTTCTACCAGAGGTCTCTACCTGGCCACACTGGGGAGATCTCTACCCTGGCCACACTGTGAGGTTTTTATCCTGGCCACACAGGGAGGTCTCTACCTGGCCACAATGGTGATGCCTCTGCCTGGCTGCACTGGTGATGTCTTCACTCAGGCCACACTGGGGAGGTCTTTACTCTGGTCACACTGGGCAGGTTTTTATCCTGTCCATACAGGAGAGGTCTCTATCTAACCACACTGTGGAGGTCTCTACCTGGCCACACTGGGGTGGTCTCTATCCTGGCCACCCTGGCCCTCCACTGTCTCCTGCAGGACAGGTCCCTGGATGGACTTGGCTGGCTCAGTTCTTCCCCCTTTCTTGCTCGTACTTCTCAGAAGAACTGCAGAATGCGCCAAGAATGCAATCTCCTAGAAGCACCTGGGCTGTAGTACAGGATGTCCTACAATGCTCTGGCCCAGTGATCCCAGTTTCTCCCGAGGTATAAAACTCAGAGAAGAATGCTTTCTGGGATCTGTCAGCTGCAGTGCAGCAGGGGGCACATTAAGATGAGACTCCATCCTGCCTGGGCAGCTTTCCAGGGCCTTGGAGGACCAGCTCGCCATGAATCCTAGTCTCTTGCTGTTCCCTGTTGCCTGTCTGTGAGTAATGAAGTTACCTTGCCCTGACTTGTACAAGTCTCTGCTTCAAAGAACTAGACCTGGGAATGCAGGTGCAGAGGCATGTGTGCTCTCCTGGGTGAAGCGACAGTGAGCAGTTCTTCACGCAGGCTTTCACAGGGTCTTTCATACTGTGCTGTGCTCAGGGGAAAGCGTGCTTTTTCCAAAGACTAAATGGGCCCTCAGGGAAGTTGGTGCAGGAGGAACTTTCAGCCCAGGGTCAAGGATGCTTCTAGATGACATTATGGTAGTCAGCCCTGTCCTAGGGTCCTGACTTCATTGAAGGAGAGATACAGAGGTCAGAAACTCCACATTTCTGTTTTGCTGACACTTTAGCTCAGTCAATTTTAGAACAAAAAAAGACCTCTACTGATTTCCCAAAATGCCACACTAAGAAAGGCTCTTTGGGAGGCCGAGATGAGCAGATTGCTTGAGCCCAGGAGGTCAAGACCATCCTGGGCAACATAGCAAAACCTTGTTTCTCCAGGAAAAAAAAATTAGCCAGGCATGGTGGTGCACACCTGTCGTCCCAGCCACTTGGGAGGCTGAAGTGGTAAATCATCTGAGCCCAGGAGGTTGAGGTTGCTGTGAGCCTTGTCGTGATCATGCCACCGCACTCCAGCCTGGGTGACAGAATGAGAGCCTGATACTGCACCCCCATGCAACAAAACGGCTCTTTCAAAATTTGGGTGCTCATTTTTGGCAGATCGTTTCTCTGGGCCCAGAAGCAAAGTGGTAGAGGTTGGAAGAGCCTCTAAACTGTCATGCATGTGAAGGTTTAGTTCTGTGAAAACAGCCTTAGGACAGACTTCCTGCTGTGTGAGGACTCAGAGAAGCTGGGACCCGCTGGTCACCTTTCCTGTTGCCCACTCCGCAACTGGTGCTAGTCTAGTGAGGCCACAGTAAAGCCCGAGTCCTTGGGAGACTAGCCCTGTGGCTGCAGAGTTGGGTGATTCCCAACTCCTCTCCAGGTTGTCCTGCACAGAAGGAGTCAGAGTGCTAGAGAAGCCTGAGTCCCTACAGAGCAGCCTCTAGGAGCCTGGACCACCTTACCTGCCCCTGGCATCTTCATCCTGAACCGTGACAACCCCAACCACACTCTCTCTGCCTCCCTGCTATTTCTAGGCCTTTCCTGAATATGGTCAGCATTTAGTTAGTCTTTTCACCTGACAGCCCAGAGCCTATGGGCCCGTTGAAGGGAAGCTCCACAGATGCATCCCCCTCCCCAGATCTCCCACGAGGGATCCCAGGAGGGGCTCTGTGCTACGCACCAATGTGTAGACAGAGCTGGATCTGTGCTGATCCAGGCTCCTGAGAATGTGCCTGAGACCAGCCTCACCATCCTGTCTCTATCCAGAGCAGCCCCATGTACCCTTCCTTGTGATTTCATGGTAAGAGCTGCGGCCCATCAGAAATTAATGAGTCCGTATCACTTATCACCTCAAGAATCTAGTAGTCGTAACTCTTATAAAACAATACTGCCTTTCCCCCAGCAAAATGTACTTGCTCAAATTTAAATCAACTGTCTATAAACAGAATCATGGCTTAAAATCGGTGGTACTTAAAGGAATCTTGTGATAAATTATTTCATAAAGCAATGTCTACAATGGGAATGAGTTTCACTAATTTAACAGGTATTAAGTATTCTAGGTAGAATCTTCTGAAAAGCTATATAAAGCCTATTAAGGGTTTAAAACAACAGATAGATTATTTCCTCCTCTTGTAAATTACATTATACTTGATAGAATACAAAAGATATATTTTCATAAACAGGAATGAAGTGTTATACATGCTATAGCATGGCTGAACCTAGAAAATATTATGCTCAGTAAAAAAACAGTTGCAAAAGGTCATATGTCCTCTTGTGATTCCATTTATAGGAAACTTCCAGAATAGATAATCCACAGAGATAGAAGGAAGTTGTCAGAAGCTGGTGGAGGGGAGGCTGGCTAGTAACTACTTTATGGGTCTAGAATTTTCTTGAGGGTTGATGAAGTTGGTTTGGAATTAGAGAGAGGTGGTAGTTGCAAACACTGAATGTACTGTCCTGAATTATACAATTAAAATTGTACAGCTTAAACATGAAAGATTATTTTTCTCCTAAATTCTGTAAAATATGTATTATATTTTGTCTTTTTTGTCTTTTTTCAAATTTTTAAAATGACAACAAAACATTTACCCTTTTAGCCATTTTCAAGTGATATTAAGTATATTCATATTATTGTATAACCGTCACCACCATCCATTTCCAGAACTCTTTTCATCTTGCAAAACTACAACTCTGCACCTATTAAACACTAACTCACCATTGCTTCTTTCCTCAGCCCCTGGCACACACTATTCTTGTTTCTGTCTCTATGGATTTCACTACTCTAGGGACTTCATAAAAGTGGAATCATACAGTATTTGTCCTTTTGTGATGGCTTTTTTCACTGGTTATAATGTCCTCAGGGTTTATCCATGTTGTAGCATGTGTTAGAATTTCTTCCCTTTTCAAGGCTGAATAATATTCCCTTATTATATACATACTACATTACGTTTATCCATTTATCTGTAACTGGACATGTGGATTGCTTCTACCTTTTGGCTACTGTGAATAATGCTGCTATGAACATGGGTGCACAAATATCTCTTTGAGTCCCTATTTTCAATATTTTGGGGGTATCTGCCAAGAAGTGGGATTGTTGGATAACATGATAACTCTGTTTTTAATTCTTTGAGGAACTACCATACTAAGATGGTTAATTTTATGTTATGTGAATTCACGTCAATAAAAAACATATTTTGATGACATATCTCCATTAAGCAGGTTTGTGCAATTTTACAGTTTGAAAATATTGAAAATTTTAGGTTCTCTAAAGTGACTTGGTATGAATGTTAAAAAGTCTCCAAACAAAGAAGGGACAAGAGGGAATTCTTTTGAGTCACCATTACCTGACTCTCAGAGGAAATCCGACCCCTGCGTTTGGAATGGTGGGAGGCCACCCTGTGAGCCCGAATGCTTTCTTCATCAGAGGTGTCCACATCAGCCAGATACTGGGGGAGCAGATGCTCCTTCCTGGTAACGTTCGGTCCTTTGGAGTAAGAGTGGATTTGAATTACTTGGAGTAAAAACCTGGAAGCCGACCATCATGTTTTGTACAATGAAGAAAAACGAGAGCTCAAAGACAATAAAAATGTAATGACATTCCTTTGATGTGAGGAGACTGAGACTCTGAAGTCTCCATAAGAATGGAACAGACTCTGTGTCCCCACACAAAGATCTTCAGGAAAAATGATGTCCCTGCCTGACACTCCAGGTGGGGCTTAAGGAGTTGGCATCATTTGCAAGTTTGCAAAGCAAGTGGAATACAATTCCAAACTCCAAAAGGAAACACTAAGTTCCATATGTGTGGTGAACAGATGGGGACCTGGGCTGTTTTCTTCAGTTTGGTGACTTTAGGATGCTTTTCCACATTGGCAGTCCACAGCCTAGACGGGTGGTTTGAAGACTTTCAGGGGCTGGAGTCCCCTGTGGTGCAACTTGAAATGCTTATTCCTGGACTCCAGCAGGGGGTGGAGGGAGCTCACCAGCACCACATCCTCACCAAAAACTACACACCCATATCTCTAGTTGGCCTGGATGGCACCAGTCACAGCAACACAGAAACATGGGGTGGAGGGAGGAAGAGTGTTTGAGGTCGACCCTCACATGGATGGTATTATATTCAAGGTATCTAAGCAGAAAGCACAGGGTGAGATTACTATTTCTGTTCTCAATGTGCAGGAGGCTGCAGTGGCACTGTGAATTCTGCCAACACCCTGAACAAGCTGAGAGAGGGCTGGAACTCTGGGTGGCACTGCAGTGCTGTCAAATGTTGGTTTCAGTCTGGGACACCTTGTGCTGAGGACACAATCGGACCCTGCCCTACTCCTGACCCCCAGTGAGATAAGTGAGTGTTGTTTTAAAATTAAATTAGGACTTCTGGCAAGATGGTAATGGGGCAACCCGGTCTGTGAAAACCTCTGCAAAGGAGAACTGCAGTGGGTCTCTGACTCTCGCCCCGGGGGCTACGGACCCCAACATCGCAGCCTGCTCTTCATATGGAGCTCAGCCGTTGCCACCGCTGGGGCATGGCAGCAGTCTGGACAGCCACTGCAGCGCAGATACCGCCACCGCAGCCGCCGCAGCCACCGCCACCACCGCCGGTAGCATATTGCACCACCCGTGCCAGAGGCGATCCACAACTTCAGTCCTTGAAGCCCCTTCAGGGAAGATCTGTTGGGATCGCTACCACCTCTCCTGCGACTGAGACGTCCTGCCCGCCGTAAATCTCCTGCTGTCTGCCCTGAGGCAGGCAGCCATCTTGCCATCTTCAGCTCTGCCGGCCCTGTCCGGCCCCACCCCCTCTGGGGTGAGCAGCTGAGATATCACCACCTGCTGGCGATTCAAGGTAACAACAACGAAACGGGAGAAACAAGCTTGATAAAGACATAGGCCAGAGTGGTGAACAGAAGGTGACCTGAACTGTCCTTCACAGCAGACCAGGGGCAACTGATCCTAACTGCAAACTAATTTACCAGCTTGAAAAGAAAACTAGAAGTCAGACCTGAAAGGACATTGGACTTAAACGAAATGTCTCAGAGTGTGCTTCATTGAATCTGTTAGTTTAATGACTTAATTCTATTCCTACTGTATTGTTCCTCTTTCTTTTTTCCTCTTCCTTTTCTTCTCTTTTCTTCTCTCTGTAAACCATATCTTTGTATAGAGGAACAGCACACTAATAAGGTGGTTGGATAGCTGGTATGGTAGCATCACTATATGTTTTATTTTTGTCTGTATGAGAGTTGGTTCGTCTGTAGCTGTGGTCTATTGTTTTTATCTGTTTCAGTATAGGCCTCTCTATTTGTTGGCACACTCGTTTGTTTCCCCCCTTACTCCTCTATCTCTCCACCCCCCTCTTCAACCCACTGTCTGCTCCATTCTCTCCCCTCTGCTAACCACATTTTATTTCAGGGAGTAAACCTACAGCCCCACTGCACGGGCAGATTCCAAGGCAGTGGGAAGTGGGTTCCAGATTACTCACATACCTGTCAGCAAATACCAGGACCTGCAGATAGATTTTGAATCACAGCTCCCCCCTTAAGTAAATCTCAAAACTGCAAAAAGGACCACCCCCAACCTACAGTGCAACTCCAGAATTGAACAAAGTAAGAGGGCATACATAAAGAATAGGAGACTGAACAAACAGAAGTAAAACCAATCCTTTTACCCCCGAATAACAGAAGTAAAGAAGACAGTGACATGGAGGGAAGGAAAAAGTAGGGAGGGGGAAAAACCACACAAATGAAGAAAAACCAAAAGAAGAATATAGGTCTCACACAGACCCCTGGGAGATCAGACACTGAGAAAACAGATTCTGGAACACAAACAATGAAGAGCCCCCAGAATGACTGGTTACATGCAACAAACCCAGACATCAAGACATTAATGGAGAGAATTAAAAAAATTGAGGAGAGATAAGAGGAAAATAGGAAGGAGCTGATGTCAGAAATGACAGCAGTAAAGAATATTGTGATGGAAATGAATAACAGACTAATAAGCATGGAAAGCAGAATCAGCCAAGCAGAAGAAAGAATCTCAGAGCTTGAAGACCAAAACACAGAACTAACCCAAACTGTCAAAAGCATAGAAAAGAAGCTCAAAAAGACAGAACAAAACCTGCAAGAGATGAATGATCACTTCAAGAGATCAAACCTAAGAGTAATTGGGCTTCCTGAGCAGAGAGAGAAACAGAAGCCACACTGGAACAAACATTTCATGAAATCATTCAAGAAAACTTCCCTCATCTCATCAAGGATGAAAACATTCAAATACAAGAGATTCAGAGAACCCCTGCAAGACAACAAATGAGAAGACCAACTCCCAGACACATAATAATTCGCCTAAATAAAGTAGCTATAAAAGAAAAAATCCTAAAGGCAGCAAGAGAAAAAGCCCAGACTACCTACCAGGGAAAACCAATTAGAATAGCAGCAGATTTATCCACAGAAACCCTTTAGGCTAGGCGAGCCAGGAGCCCTATCTTCAAAGTTCTAAAAGAGAAACAATTTCAACCAAGAATAACCTACCCAGCCAAACTAAGCTTCATTAGTGAGGGAGAATTGAAATATTTTCCAGATATCCAGTCCCTAAGAACCTACACTGCCACCAGACCACCTCTACAAGAAACACTTAAGAAAGTACTGAACACAGAAGAAAAAGAAAAAAGAACAACAACATTCTTCACAAGAGTACAGGCAAAAGATTAAAAACACACATGAACCAACCAAAACCCAAAGAAAGACAACAAACAAACAGGAACAACTCTGTAAGAACCTTATGACAGGGATCAACTCTTGCATTTCAATTATTAACCTAAATGCGAATGGACTAAATCACCACTGAAAAGACATAGAATGGCAAAATGGATAAAATATCATCAGGCAACAATCTATTGCCTTCAAGAGACTCACCTCACTAGAAAGGACACCCACAGACTCAAAGTAAGAGGATGGGAAACAAACTTTCAGGCGAATGGAATACAAAAGAAAGGAGGAGTAGCAATCTTAATTTCAGACAAAATACCCTTCAAGCTATTAAAAATCAAAAAAGATACAGAAGGCCACTACATAATGATAAAAGGCTCAATCCATCAACAAGAAATATCTATCCTAAACATATATGCACCCAACATAGGTGCGCCAACTTTCATAAAGCAACTTCTAGGAAAACTAAAGAAAGATATTGACCCTAACACCATCATAACTGGGGACTTTAATACCCCACTCACAACCCTAGACAGATCATCAGGACAAAAAAATCAGCACAGAGATCCGGGACCTCAATGTGACTTTGGACCAAATGGACTTAATTGATACCTACAGAACACTCCATCCAAAGACCACAGAATACACACATTCTACTCATCACTACATGGAACATATTCTAAGATCGACCACATACTCGGCCATAAATCAAGCATAAGTAAATTTAAAAGGACCCAAATTCTACCGTGTACCTTCTTGGACCACAGTGGAATAAAAATAAACATTGACACCAACAAAGTCCCCCCAAAACCCACAAAGACATGGACACTAAACAGCATGATGCTAAACAACTCCTGGGTCAATGATGAGATGAAAACAGAGATAAAAAGATACCTGGAAACAAATGAAAATGAAGAAACATCTTACCAAAATCTCTGGGATGCCCTGAAAGCTGTAGTAAGAGGGGAATTTATATCCCTACAAACACACATGAAGAAAATGGAAGGAACACAAATTCACAACCTAACAAGCCACCTAAAGAAGCTGGAAAAGCAAGACCACAAAAACCCTAATTTCAGCAGAAGAATCCAGATCACCAAAATAAAAGCCCAAATCCAGGACATAGAAGATAAAAAGATAATACAAAAAATCAATGAAACAAAAAGCTTGTTCTTCAAAAAGATAAACAAGATCGATGGTTCCCTAGCTAGACTGGCCAAGAAAAAAACGAGAAAAAAACCAAATAAGCACAATCAGAAACATAAAAGATGAAGTCACATCTGACCCAGAAGAAATACAAAAGATCATTAGAGACTACTACATACACTTGTATGGAAACAAACTTGAAAACCTTAAGGAAATGGAGGACTTTCTGACATCACACAACCTACCTAGGTTGGAACAAGAAGAAATTGAGACCCTAAATAGACCAATAACAATCAAGGAAATCGACTACGTAATAAGAAAATTTCCTACAAAAAAAACCCCCTGGTCCAGATGACTTTCCAGCAGAATTCTACAAGACATTTAAGGAGGAGCTGATACCAATCCTACTGAAGGTATTCCAGGCGATTGAAAAAGATGGAACTCTCTCCAAATCATTTTATGAAGCCATCATCACATTGATACCCAAGCCAGGTAAAGATCCAACAAAGAAAGAGAACTATAGGCCAATATCTTTGATGAACATAGATGCTAAAATTCTCAACAAGATCCTAGCAAACCGGATTCAGGAATACATCTCAAAAATCATCCACCATGACCAAGTAGGCTTCATTCCTGGGATGCAAGCCTGGTTCAACATTCGTAAAACCTTAAATGTAATTAAATTCATCAACAGATGTCAAAACAAAAACCACATGACCATATCATTAGATGCAAAAAAGCTTTTGATAAAATCCAGCACCCCTTCTTGATAAAAACCCTTGAACATCTAGGCATACGGGGAACATACCTCAAAATAGTAAAAGCCATCTACGAGAAACCCACAGCCAGCATACTCCTAAATGGACAAAAATTGGAACGAATTCCCCTGAAAACTGAAACTAGACAAGGATGCCCACTCTCACCCCTCCTGTTCAACATAGTATTGGAAGTCCTGGCTAGAGCAATCAGAGAAGAGGAGGTAATCAGGGGTATCCAAGTAGGAAAAGAGGAAGTCAAGTTATCTCTCTTTGCAGATGATATGATTGTGTACCTTGAAAACCTAAGAGAATCTGTCAAAAGCCTCCTTACATTGATAAAGGCCTTTGGCAAAGTCTCAGGATACAAAATAAATGTACAAAAGACAATGGCATTTCTCTACACCAATAATAAACAAACAGAAACCCAAATAAAAAACACAATTCCATTCATAATAGCCACAAAAAAATGAAATACCTTGGCATCTTCCTAACCAGAGATGTGAAAGACTTTTACAATGAAAATTACAAAACACTGCTCAAAGAAATCAAAGATGACACAAACAAGTGGAAAAATATCCCATGCTCATGGATTGGAAGAATCAACATTGTGAAGATATCCATCTTACCTAAGGCAATCTACAAATTCAATGCAATACCCATCAAATTACCAGCAACATTCTTCTCAGACCTGGAAAAAATAACACAGGAATTCATATGGAAACACAAACGTCCGAGAATAGCCAGAACAATCCTCAGCAAAAAAACCAAAGCAGGTGGTATCACATTACCAGACTTCAAACTTTATTATAAAGCTACAATCATCAAAACAGCTTGGTATTGGTATAGGAACAGGCATATAGATCAATGGAATAGAATTGAGATTCCAGAAGCAAAACCTCAATTTCTCAACCAACTCATCTTCGACAAAGACCCACCACCTACCACTGGGGAGAGGAGAACCTATTCAGTAAATGGTGCTGGGAAAACTGGCTAACCACATGCAGAAGATTGAAACAGGACCCCTATCTATCCCCATGCACAAAGGTTAACTCCAAATGGATCAGAGACCTAAATGTAAAACCTCAAACCATAAGAACCTTAGAAAAGGAAGGAAATACCCTCATGGAAATCAGAACTGGCATCCAATTCCTGAATAAAACCCGAAACCCACAGGCCATAAGAGAGAAGATAGACAAGTGGGACCTTATAAACTGACAAGCTTCTGCAAGGCCAAAGAAACCATCAAAAGAGCAGGGAGACAGCTTACAGACTGGGAAAAAATATTTGCCAACACCAGGTCTGACAAAGGCTTAACATCCTGGATCTGCAAGGAACTAAAACATGCTGCAAAGAAAAAAAAAAAAAACCCAATTATCAAATGGGCAAAAGATATGAACAGACACTTCACAAAAGAGGACATCCGAGCAGCCAACAAACACATGAGGAAATGTTCAACCTCACTAATCATCAGGGAGATGCAAATCAAAAGCACACTGAGATACCACCTAACTCCAGTCAGAATGGCAATTATCAACAACTCAAAAAATAACAGCTGCTGGAGACGGTGTGGCGAAAAGGGAACACTTCTACATTGTTGGTGGGAGTGTAAACTAGTGCAACCTCTGTGGAAAGCAGTGTGGCGATTCCTAAAAGCTCT